ATGCATTCCATGAACAACACAGTCAGTGCACCACACCATGCATTCAATGAACTGACTTAGGTTCAGTTGTTTAATGCATAGCAAAATTCTGTTATTTAAGACAGCTAAGTTCCTGATAAATAAAGATCTTCAAGTATTTCCATAATCAAAAATCACAAGAGATCAAGTCTAGTGATCACAGTAGCAATGTTATTGGAAATGATTAACCAATCATTCTTATTTGTGAATACTGATGTAATAACCTTTGCATATTGATGCCAATATGAGGGAGTGCTTCCCTTGCTCAAGAATTGTGGTATCCAAATAATTTCTTTGTTGATATGCAGGAATGACAAAGTTTTGAAGCATGTATCCATACCCAGTAGCATTGACAGAACATATCACTGGTTCAAAAGAATATAGTTCAATGATAAAGGTGAGCATGAATTTGCAATACACAATGATTTTTGGTTTGGTGCAAGAGAATTTGTTGGTAAATGTGTGGGTTTCTCCAGACCAAATATGATATTTATGAATGTTCACCATACCATTCAAGTAAAAATGGATTTCATTACAGGGATACAGAATATGTCTGATCCTGTGAATGGAGTTCTGTGGAAATTAAAGCAGTGATAGAAATATCTGCAGTAGAAAAGTAATATCACAGCAATAGCTGCAATAACATCACAATAAAAGTGGAGTAGAATCTTGGCTAAGCCTACAGACATTAATTGGGAAAATTTGCCAAAACTTGTATTTTAAAAGTGAAATTGAAATGTTGTTTACTCTGTTTCTGATCAGTTTGGTCACTGCCTATTTACACAGTTATGTACTTGCAGTCTCAGTTATGGAATCATGCTGCATAGCACCAAAATTGTCACTTGGCAATATTTTTACTAAAGTGGCAATAAAAACCCTAGTCTGCTTATTTCGACATTCAGCATGAAATTAAATCACAAATCACACTTCAGGAAAAACAGCAGAATATTGAACTTCCATGCAATTGGAGTTTCGTGCATTACACACCTAGCGATTTCATGACGTCATGTGGCAAGTTTGGGCATAAAAGTAGCAAATGACATTGAGAACTGAAGGCAGTTTTGTGCAATGTTGCCCAGCAGAATTTTTTATCGATCAAAAGAAAATTTGGGAATTTTTTGGAGTAACTTTTATTCACTGTGATCTTTTCTCAGTAGACTAAAATGAAAATTTTGACATGACAGAACCTGTGAAATACTGTTTAATTCCGAATAACACATTTGATCAATTCATTTAAAAATTATTCAAAAATGATTCTTATTGCTAACAAGGAGAGGGTCAGATGTTCGAATCTGAGATCCAAATGAAACTTGGTGAACAAGTAGCCTTAAACAAAAATAGCTCCTTATCCTTTATTTCATGCTAATGGACAATAATTTTCAAAGAAATTTTGTATGTTGGGGAATTTTCAGTCCCAAAAATATTCTGCAGTCTTGCTTCATTGGTCTGAAGAGTTTTCCATACCTATGGATTGTTGATCATCATCCAGCTATGAATGATGCTAAAGTTTATCAGCACAAGATTTTTGCTGAGCATAATTGCCAGGAAACAATTTGTGACTATGAGATTCAAAAAAATTTTTTTAAATTGTACAATATATGTAATTATCATAAAAGTTTGAAGTTATAATCACATTTTGTTTGTTCTTAATGTAAAACTTTTTGAGAATAAAATTCACAAATACACCTCATTTAGAAAATAGGTTTGGTCTTTATTATTAATATTATATGAGTGCACTACTTTTCACCTGTGGCAAGATTCATCAAAAAGAAGGTATATTCAAAATGATAGTAGAAATTTCTATTCCTTACTTGAATTTTGCTGAAGGAAACTTCTTAAATAATAACTAAGCAGAAATGCCATTTTAGTAATTTTAAATCACACCATTAGATTCTTTGTAAAAATTTACACTTATTAGATCCTCTTTAGCCTGTAGTCAGTTTCCCATTAATATTAATAGCAGACAAACCAGATATACATTCAGAAATATACAGAGTGTAACAAAAGTAATGGTCACAACTATAAGAGGTGATAGACCTTGCCATAACAAACAACTTTCACCATGCAATGTGGGGTTGGAAGCAAATGGCAAGCTGTGAGAGGGCATTTTCTCTGGAGTAGATGAAGATGGAGAATGATGAGTTCTGCAAAAGGCCACCGCCTTTTGCAGAACTCATCATTCAGCTTCTATTTGTCACCAGTGGTGGGCCCATCTCTTGGCCTCTCAGATCTCCCAATGTGTCCTGCCTAAATTTTTTCTCTGGGGATAGCTAAAAAGCATCATTTATGAGATGCCCATCAAGTCACCAGAGAACATTGTTGCCCAAATTAGCATCACAGCTGAAGATGTTCATGAACTGCCAGGAATGTCGCTGATGTGAAGCTTGTATTGCAGCTGATGGTTGTTCATTTGTTGTAAAGTTTTCAATAATAAAGATTCTTTGTCCTTTATTATTCATCTTTATTGTATTCTCCATTTTCACCAAGCAGGCACCCTCTTGCAGCTCATCATTTGCTTTCCAACCTCACACTGAATGGTGAAAGTTGTTGTTTTGTCAAGGTCTCTCACTAATACAGTGATGGACAGCATGCTGATCGTTTATTAGGAGAAACTTTTAACATATAAGCATTAAATTACAAATAAATGTCGCTAAATCGACAAGCGCTTTCGACAATAATTATTTTCGTCTTCATCAGGTCATTAAAACATTTAAAATCCTTTTTTGAATACAAATAACAAATTGTTCCAAGCGTATTAACGTTTTGGAATGAAAGCAACGGTAGAACATAATAAAACTTTTAAATGAAAACACACGCGATTATAATGCGCATGCGTTAAACGCCCCCAAATTGTGGAGCTAGATATGTTGTTTTAGATAGTTATACAAATTGATCCACAAAGGGGGAAAATCAAGTGTGGGGGTGTTGCAGGGCTTTAATATGTTGGTAAGGAGGGCTTCCCAAATATACACAAGATTTCTGTTATTGCAATGTCTTGTATGGCCACTTTGCTCCACAATGGGGTATGTTGGTGTTGTAACACCATTCTAGCAAGTTTGGTTTCATTCTTGCCTTCCCTGATGGAATATTGATGCTCTAAAATACAATAAGATAACATTCTGGTTGTCGCGCCAACGTAATGGGTGCGACCACCCGACATATTTTCTAATGGGACAGAGTAAACCCCCGATCTTTCAAGGGTGGACACAGAATCTCTGTCATTGGACAACAACCTCCTAAGATTTGGCCGTGGAGAAACCGGCAGAAAAAAGGCATATCACCTAAAAATACGGCCGGTGACATGACGACAAAATGGTATCGTGGGCAGGACTATTGTGGATTCTTTTGGAAGATGTAGTGTAGTAGTGGGAAAGAGTGATCTTTTTACCTTATTTAAGATGTAGCTAAACTTGGCATTACTGTAGCCCGCCTCATTTACCGCACGGCAAATAATATTAAGTTCGGTATCGACAGCCGCTTGGCTGGAAGTAAAAGAAAGGCCCTTCTTATTAAAGGTGAAATTGCCGCATTGATGTAATGTTGCAGTTGGTATGCTGTAGCCAGGATTAGGGGAGGTACACCACTAAATTNTTTCCTCAGAAAATACTGTACTGTACTTGTATGTATTGTTTACTTGAGAATACAACAGAGAATAAACTGCCCAAATACCCTTAAGCAAAGGAAAAGTACGTCTTTTATGAAGGCATAGAGCCTTTACTACATGAAAATGAAAATTAATGAATACACTGTACAGTAATTTACCTGATAAGACAGACCTCAGAAAAATATTTTATGAAGCATAAAGCTGTCTTTATGCTTCATAATTAATTAACTAAGGATTTTTTTGCCCTGCCAGGGTGTGGCCGAGTTATCCGGAGTGCCGGGTTATCGAATGCCGAGTTTTCGAGGCTCTACTTGTACGACATTTCGTTGCAAAAAGAAATACAATGACAATTCACAATTTAAAATTTATTGACTCGAGTACTTTTAAAATTTGGGGGACAAAAAAGCACAATATATCCGAATCCGCGATATAACGAGGAGCTATTGTATCTGCTGATGCACATTACAAAATACTCATGATATTGACTATAGCGATAAGATGTTTGGTTTGATGAAATAAGGCAACGCAACACTATCTTAGACAAAGTATTTCCTGGGAGGCCTTCTATGAAAACTGGACCATATTTATGTATTAAATACGTAAATCAAACTCAGAAAACTCCATATGCCAGCCTGTTGACTAAGTGAGAATCCACGACCAACTACCGGTATTCAGTGGCTTCATCTACTCGGCCATTGATATACAGTATTAACTGTTATGTTGGTATATGTATATGACCTTTTTAAATAAAATTAAACAAATCATTTATAGGATATAAACTATAATAAAGAATAGCAATAATGATTAAAACTAAAATTACTTAGTACAATAGTAAGATTTTCATGATTTAAAATTAAAAACAAAATTATATATTAATCATACTTNGCACTGATCAATCAATTTATGATTAGAACAAATTAACATTATGTAAAAAATGATTCATATACTTACAAATAAAAGTTATGTCTCAATTCAAATATTGCTGTATGATGGAATGTCTACTTAGTATCAAGACTAATCATACAGAATGGTTTTAAAATGTGAAGATTAACAAATGTACAAGAGATACTTGCTATCACAAGAATGAAGGGCAAAATATTGAGCATCGGATCTTCCTATATATATAATTCCAAGGCATAAGATTGGACTTAATTTAAAAAAAGAGAATAATAAATACACTCAAAGTACAAGAATTTTTCAAACAAATCTGGCCAAATCATTCTTTAATTTTGTGTAATGACATGTTTGAATTATTCTTTATGAATAATTATGTGTAAAATATATTTATGCATGTAATTTCCTTCTACTTATAATGTTGTAGCAAGTAGCTAATTATCCTCATTAGTATAAATGAGGATAATTAGCTACTTGGAAATTCATAATCAGAAATTATTAAATTAAAAATATTGGATTAAAATAACTTTTGACAGAATTAAAAATATTTTATCATCTAAAACAAAATTAAATCATTTTCATAATGTAGCATACCTAGACAACTGAGCAATCTTTCCTGAGTGTTTCTGTAGTGAGATGGCTTATTTTCACGATTAATCTGTGGAGGATGTGGAAAAATTGCCTTTGGCTTTAATTGATAATAATCTAAAAATACTAGACTATTATAAAACCTTAAGCAATTAGATATGTTTGATAAAAATTTGTTATTTTCAGAAGCATACTTATATTAATTAACCTAGCGGATATCAATAAACTTTCAGTAACAAAATGTTAAACAATTAACGTGTAGAGGATTTACAGTTGTTTATTAAGTTATGATAAGTTATTATTATGAGTAGTGAGAGTAAGTAGTTAACTTGTAAATTAAACTATTGCAAATTAAGAGCGCTGCTAATAAACATTTTACTCCGAACAATATTGGTCTCGGATATGTCGGGCCTCGTTCCTCAGCACTCGTCCGTCCTCATTATGGGCCTGGCCGAACCCTTTACGGACCCGAAAAAACCCTCTTAGCTCTACAGGACAGGAAAGAGTTGAAAAGAAAAAGTACTCGTATGCGGTATTGATCTTAAACGGGATGGGTATTTTGATTATAAAATCTCCATTAGACTTTCACTGCCGCTTTGACAGCTTTTAAAATAATAAATGTTGACAATATTAGGAACGTATATAAGCTATAGGCCTAAATAGATTAATTTTTACATCTTTTATTTCAGATTTGAATTATGAAAGCAAAATGGACGTAATTTGAATCATTAAGCAGCATCACTTTTATGACTGAGTAAACCCGAGTTTACTTAGAGTCGTAGTTTTAAATAGTCCTTAATCAATAAATAATTAATGCTTAATATTATTAAAACCTTGAAAGAAAGTCCGAGTACACAGTTTTGCCTAGTGCTCTTATGATTAAACATATAAAATCGATTGGCTGGATAACCAGGCGGCAGTTAAGATGTCAGCCTACAGCTCCGAGAGATCGTGAATCACATTCAGACGAGTGACCAAGAAATTTTTAGGGATTATCTGTTCCATCCCTCACCATCAGACCGCCATCATTGTCAGGCAGCCAAACGCACGATGGGAAGGCTCTCGATGTACTGTACCTACACAGTAAAAAGTTAAAAATAAAAATATATACGTAGTATATAATAAGCCTGTCGATAAGACATTGCATAAGCTTGTACAAACAAAAATTAAATGAAGAAATATTTAAAGTATTTTCTTCTAAAGTCATCACAACTCTATTAATTTCTTGCAATAAGTTTTCGTGTAAATTCGGTTTTAAAAAGCCATTTGCAAAGCGATTTCTAACTTTCTGCGTGTTTGGACTTTTCACAACAAAAAAATAGAAATTAATATAATGAAAACAAACATTTATCCATAAAAGAAATTTTAAATTGTTTATTTAAATTTTTTTAATCATTTAAACTAAACATAATTTTTTCCAGTTTGTACACATAAATAAACTTTTAAAAAATAACTACAGAATTGCAATATTTGATATAAATATCCGTTCATGTTCTCCCTAGAATAATAAGTTGACTTTGTCAATAATTTAAAACGTTATTATTTAAATATAGAATATTCTTGATGTGAATATCAATGATCTTGAATTATTTATGTCCTAAAAATGTTCTTATCGGGTATCAAAGCATTCTGGAAAATAACTAGAGTATAATTTTTTATATTTATTATTTTCAATATTTTAAAATTAAGTTTTGTTAAGGTTAACTTAATAATATTAAATATCAATAATTTTAAAATGGCTCTAAATAAACATATTAAAATTTTCTTTAATAAATGAGGCCACTCGATGGAAATGGACGGGGCACGACAAATACGGAATAAACTACCCTGGAAAAATTTCTAGTGTTGGATTCGATTCCGGGTCCTAAAGAGCGTAAGATGACAATCGCTCGACCATTTGCCAGTTACGACAGGTGTAGTCAGGTCCTATTTTTAGGACACCCTCATCACTTATAATGAATGCACGCCCACCCATCTATATATGTATTACGAAATTTACGGACAGCCAAAACTATCAAAATAGGCAATATTCATGATATTGGAAACTTCTAATATCATGCCTATTTTGATTAACTCGCAATTTTATAACAAATGTTTCTCCATAATTTTTCAAATTAATTACATTATTTATGAAATCAAAACTTTGCACTTCGCTCCGTTACACTAAATTGATCATTGATTAAAAGGCAAATATAACCCAGTTATAGAAAAACTGGCTTTTTGTTATCAAACATATCGATTATAAAATTTGTTTAAAGATTTAAATATAATATTTCTTAAATTCTTCTTTGTATGGCTTATCNTGGAAGTAAAAGAAAGGCCCTTCTTATTAAAGGTGAAATTGCCGCATTGATGTAATGTTGCAGTTGGTATGCTGTAGCCAGGATTAGGGGAGGTATACCACTAAATTTGTGGAATACGGAGTACCTAATGTTATCCCGGGATTTAATAATTTTTAGATCCAAGAACGCAATTTCATTTTCTTTGCCTTTTTCCCAGCTAAAATTAATTGTGGGATAAATAGTCACGAGACAATCTTTGAAGGTAAGGAAATTTTCATGGGTGTCCTGCCAAGCTATTAGAATATCATCAACATATCTAAGATATAAAAGAGGATACGTTATTGTGATGAGGAATATTGAATTCAAGATTTTTAAATTTCCCATGACCAACTCCGCCAAGATCGCTGAAAGTGTGAGCCCATCGGGACTCCCTGCTGCTGTAGACATATTTGGCCCTTGAATTGGAAATAATTATTTTCGGAAATAAAGAGTAGAGCTTCACATAACTCTAAAGCCTCTTGCGCTGTAAAACCCTTCCTGATTAGCAGCACATTAATAAGCATAACAGCTTCAAACTGCAGCTCCGAGGGGTAAAGGGCAACTACATCCAACTTGTAGTAACTATACTCTTTTTGTGAAATGTGGTCTAGGACAGAAGATGTGTGAGCCTTCGCTGCAACGGAGGAAGATGTAACCAAATAGGAAGGACGTAGAAGTCCACTTAATAACCTGGCTAGGGCCTTTTCAAGATGGAAGGCAGGGTGGGTCCTTTTATTAACCAGCGGTCTCAATGGCAAACCCTCCTTATGAGTTTTAACCTCAAAAAAAGAGCCTGGGGCAAGCTACTTTTGGACGGGGGATAAACACGTCCAGGAAGAGTCGAAATAGTTGGAAGGGATATTATTTTTCTAACCTTTCTTAGGATGGTAAAAGTTGGATCAGTTTGTAAGGGCACCCCACAAGAATGGCTGAGGAAGAATGGCTGTCGATACTGAACTTAATATTATTTGCCGTGCGGTAAATGAGGCGGGCTACAGTAATGCCAAGTTTAGCTACATCTTAAATAAGGTAAAAAGATCACTCTTTCCCACTACTACACTACATCTTCCAAAAGAATCCACAATAGTCCTGCCCACGATACCATTTTGTCGTCATGTCACTGGCCGTATTTTTAGGCGACATGCCTTTTTTCTGCCGGTTTCTCCACGGCCAAATCTTAGGAGGTTTTGTTGTCCAATGACAGAGATCCTATGTCCACCCTTGAAAGATCGGGGGGTTTACTCTGTCCCATTAGAAAATATGTCGGGTGGTCGCACCCATTACGTTGGCGCGACAACCAGAATGTTATCTTATCGTATTTTAGAGCATCAATATTCCATCAGGGAAGGCAAGAATGAAACCAAACTTGCTAGAATGGTGTTACAACACCAACATACCCCATTGTGGAGCAAAGTGGCCATACTAAGACATTGCAATAACAGAAATCTTGTGTATATTTGGGAAGCCCTCCTTACCAACATATTAAAGCCCTGCAACACCCCCACACTTGATTTGCCCCCTTTGTGGATCAATTTGTACAGCTATATAAAACATTGCAACTAAATCCACAATATAGAGGCGTCTAATGCATGCGCATTATAAACGCACGTGTTTTTGTTTAAATATCTTCTTATGTTCTACCGTTGCTGTTATTCCGAAATGTTAATTAGGATTGGAATATTTAAAAAATTTTTGTATTCGAAGAAGGATCTTATATCTTCTAATGACCTGAAGAAGACAAAAGTGTGTATCGTCGAAAGCGCTTGTCAATTCAGTGACATACGTATATAATTTAACACTTATATACTATTGCTTGTCTTCCAACTATAAAGGCAAAGGACAAACTTCTATACATTTCCTGAGGCAAAAAATCTGGACAAATACATGATAAAATGAAGTTTTTAAACCAATTAAAACAGATTAAGCTAGTAAGTCATTAGCTCTAATCATATAAAATGTACCTTAAAGTTATTCCAAAGCATTCTCTGGCTGACGTTGCTTCTCTGAAACATGTATTTTGCTTGCTTATATGATTTTCTACTTCAAAGTTATAACAACACTTCAAAGAGATCACATGTTATTCTTAAAAAACTGTCAACAAAATTTACATTACTACTAATAAAACTTTTATGCATTATAAGATTTTGCTATAACCTTAATTTATTACTTACTCATAATAATAATCCTGGTCTTGAAAACAAAGTTCACACATACGTGTATTGTGATAACCTAAGGAACTTCTATTCCGAAATAAAGGCCTCACCCAAAAACGTTGCTTTCGTTTCATGAGTGCAGAAAGCAGCAAAAATTGTCCAGAAAAAAGTTAAAACATCATAGCAGCTTGTATCTGATCCATTTAAAAATATTTTATGCACTGACAATTATGAACAATCAAACTATGATGCTTTCGTTTTCACCAATTCACATGCAAAGTACTTATGCTCGACACTTGGGGCAGCACCATCACCGTAAAAACTTTGCTACCAGACCTCCAGCGTAATCCAAGTGCAAATGCAAATAGGTCACATGATTAAAAGCTTTCACGGCAAAGGTTTTTATGCCTGTTCTTACATTAGTGGAATCGCAGCCTAACGACAGAAGATTGAACCGCTGTGTGTGAAGGGACAATCCAAACCCATCGATCTGGATTTTGCCCCAACTGGCAAGTAGTTTAAGTAAAACTACTCGCAAGAATTAGGCTTACTATCGAGACGATTATTTCACCAATTCAGTGCTTTATATTTTTGTTTGTTAACTAAGTTTCGACCACATGCTTGTTAGCAAAGAACATTGATTGTGTCAAGTAACTGTGTTAAGAGGATGCAACAACCAAGTATATCACCCTGTAAATATCTGTACACATTTTAAGAATAAGTGCATATATTAGTAATATTGGGATTCCTAGCAATCTCTATGATTAGTGGATAAGATCAAGAACTTTGTATAGTTTGTAAGAATACTGTTTAAGTCCATGAGTTGTTTGTCAATTTGATTCTTTTAATTACCATTAAATTAATTCTTTCCACCAACACATGTCCCTTATTTATAAAGTCCTCAATCGAGTTACCCCACAAACACTGGCTACATTTTGATATAGCCATAGTCAATACAATATAATAATTAATACATTGTATTTCATATAATTAAATTATATAAAAACAGTTGATAACAACTGTACAGTCGTTAATAGGCTATACTTTAATAATTCGAAAGGACATTTAATCTGTAAATTTACCTGTTGTTAATCTTTCCATGATTGGCCGGATGGCCGAGCGGTCAGGGTGGCAGCCTACGGCTCTGGGGAACGTGGGCTTGAATCCGAATGGGTCGAAAAATCCCCAGGAATTTTTCGGGGGGTTGGTCCATTCAGATATGTCAGGCCCTGTCCCTCACCACCCGGCAGCCCCATTGTGGGCCTGGCCAAACCCATAATGGGCTTGCAAAAAGAGGCCGTCTTAGTGCCCACAGGGCGGAAAGAGTTAAAAAAATCTTTCCATGATGTCCTTGTTGACAGTTATCTCAACTTTTTTATTATTGCCAGATAATACAACATTGTACAGTACCACAGCCTACAATAAAAACAGCCTAGGGTGCATTCTTTTATTCCTCCGCNTTTTTCTGAGGTCTGTCTTATCAGGTAAATTACTGTACACAGTGTATTCATTAATTTTCATTTTCATGTAGTAAAGGCTCTATGCCTTCATAAAGGACGTACTTTTCCTTTGTTTAAGGGTATTTGGGCAGTTTATTCTCTGTTGTATTCTCAAGTAAACAATACATACAAATACAGTACAGTATTTTCTGAAGAAACACTCATACTTAGTTTTTTAACCCCATTCCCGATAACCCGGCATTTTCACAAACTCGGCCACCCTTCGGTCCACATTAGACTGAGTTTTCGAGGCTCTACTGTATTCTGAAAAATAAATAAAATCTACTATTGGAAAGTGTAAAGCTGATTTTCTCTCATTGACATTTAATTTTATAGCTTCAATTTTAATATTGTCAACATAAAACCTATTTAAGTTTGGAAGTGAACTAATTTGGAAATTATTTGTCCTATTATTCCATCAGTCTTATCTGTCTAGATATCATTGAAAGATCATAGCAAATTTTTAATCATAGAATAATTATTTTTTAATAAATTTGAAATCATGAAAATTTATTTTCGATTTTCATAAAAATTTTTTTTGACTAATAATTAACCCAAAAAAGTCAAACATTTAATTTATAGGCTGCATATTGTTAGTGACATATTTTTGATTGTTTATAATAGTCATATTTAACGTGTGTCCAAATTTTGACTTTAAAAATTAAAAAAATAAATTAAAAATAAATTATATATATTTTTTATTTTGTAAAGTCACAATTTTAAAACATTTGAACAAAATATTTTTTTGTTAAATATTTTTTGAGAAAGTATCATAGAAATAATGCAAAATTGCATTAGGTATTTATCCATAGTTTAAAAATATATATCGTATTTAAAATTGAAAAGAAATATTTTATATATTCTCTTAAAAAAATACTTACAGATTTCGGTTTGGAAAGTGTATAAGAAGGTGGACTATTATAATTATCCAATTGGTCAATGTTTTCTTTGGCAGCTATACTTGGATCACTAGATGCTTTAACCATAAAACTATCACAGGAAAATTTTGATAAAATTTGATCTTGATAACTTATTGATCTATTATCTACATTAAAATCTAGGTCACTTTCAGGTGAAGAAGCATAACTGAGACGGGAAGTCATTGGGAAAAGGAAATCATCTGTTATTATTTCTTTTGGCTAAAAGGAGATAAAATTATATTATTTAATAATATAATAAGTTTATTATGATTTGTAAATTTTATTAATTATAAATTAAAAATAACAAATATTCAATCTTCTGGGAGGTCTTTTAAGGAACATAGCTATGTGAAGGAAACCTGGAAAACTTCACAAACCAGCCTGTCAGCCTAAGCACAAACTTGAGCTGACTACCAGTGTTTAGGGATCAAATTTGCTTAACCACCGATGCAGTATCGATGTGGGATGAAGAATGATGTACTAGTGGATTCTGCATGAAAAATTTTCTGCAGCAGTCTCAATCAGGATTTGATCCCAGATCCTTCATAGTGGCACTCTGGAATGTTGCCATTCAGTCATCTGGTCAGCTTTCAATGTGTGAGAAAAACAAATAATCTCTGAAATTGATTCTTGAAAGCTTCATCATGTTACTAAAGTAAGAACATGAAGTGCAGAGACAGTAATAAAAAGCTTATGGTATCATTTCAAAGCATCAAGCTTATCTTTATCAAAGGGAAACTCACAAGAAAAAATTTGACTTTCATTTCAGTGCCATAATGTTTACTTGGTGCAACATTTTTTACAATTCTATGTTTTTCTTTAGATATCAATTCTTTTTTAACTAGTTTGACCAATTAATTTTTTCACTGCCCTTCTTTTGGTTTCAAGTTATTTATGACTATTTATTATTGCTTCTATAAAATAATTTGGTCTTAAAACAGTAATAGAAAAACAATAAAAAAAATAAAGCCATGATCAGAATCTAACTACAACAAACTAAAAAAAGAAGAGAAAACTGCAAAAATGTAATTAATAGGATTGTTCCAGCTTATTATTCACTGGTTTAAGTTCTTAAAGCACAATTGTATACATTGGTTCAAGATGGCATAAATGGGAAAAAATACCAATTTTAAAATTCTACTACATACTGTACTACAGTTTAGTCAACCATCAGTAGGAAATCAACTATTCTGGTAATAGCTGGAGTGGGAGAAACTATTTTGAGGCTCAATTTATTGTCATTCATCAAATCATTGTTTTTTTTGCATTTTATTATATTTAATTTTTTCTTTAAAATGATTAAATTTACTAAATTATCAACAATTGGTTTAATGAAACTGGAATTCTTTTGGCTGTTCAGTTGAAGTGTGTTTCTTTATGTACTTGAAATGTTTTCAAGATAAATTCATTATATCAATTTTTGATTCTCACTATAGGTTTTAGTACAACTTTTATAGAGAAATTTTAAATAAAAATATTTGGATACCCGGTGGTGTCTTTCTTATAAAAGGAATCATAGAGTGACATTTTAAAAACAGAAAACACTGGAGTCGGAGTCACACATTTCAAATTTGCCAGAGTTAGACTATTTGTTTACCAACTCCACCACACTGTGTATTTATTTGTATTTATATGTTTGTTTGTGTTATTGTCAATCACAAACCTTTTAATTGTTACTTAAAAATATTATTTCCTCAAAATAAAATAATTCCAATAATAATAATAATAAAATATTATACATGTTTGAAGTTCCTTCACATGACTACAAGATTAGTCATGATTGATGAATTTAATTTTTTTCATTGGTTGGCATGTAGTTTTATAATGAATCAGGTTATAGTGATGATGATTGTTTTTTTTATTTGCATATAAGATTATTAATTAATAATCAATAAATATTCATAAATATAAATCAATAATTACCATTACTTCAGAGACCCAAATGGATTGTTGTTGTTGTTTTTCTATAACCTCTTGTAATTTTTGATACCACATATCATTATTTGTTAGTGCAATGGTTGCTGCAAAAAATTTAATATTTTAGAAAGGCAATCATTATGAACTACATTAATAACATTCTATTATGAATTAATTTAAATTAAATCTAGAAATATTATTATATTTTAGTAATTATTATTGTTACAATTATATCAAGCATACAAAATTTATGTAATAACTAAAGTTAAGTAGAAATTTATTCCACCATACTTTAAATACATATATTTTATAGTGTAATAAAATTAATTTTTAAGGTGTAATTTTATAAGTAAAACTGTGTGAATTATATATATTTTTAAAAAAATATTAATATATAAAAGACTCAATAAAGTTATATAGTTTTTTCCAATTTTTACTTTCTTAAAAGTATAAATAATAAAATACTAGTAATAACTGATGATTTTATATTTGATATAATACCAAGATTTGCATTTCATATAGAAATTTTAAATATTGGGTCCAAATTTTAGAATGAATTTTTTATATTTTAATAGTAGATTAAATTAGATGTGATATGAAAAGTTTCAGTATGAATTATGACAGCAATATAAGTTTATATCTTACATTAATTACTATATATTCAATTAGTAAAATTTAATGATTCAAAATTTAATTTTAAAATACCTGTAAAAATATGAGACCATAATTTTTCTAATTTAACTCCATGTTCATATAATTTTCTTGAGCTTTTTTGTCCTGTTTTAATTAGTCTTGATCTTAATTCTTTTATGATATGTTTATTATCTGCTCGAAGAAAGATGACAATTGGATAAAACTGGGCATAATTTAATCGATCTACTGCACCAGGTGTAATATCTACTAGTGAATGTTTTCCCTTTAAAATTGAAAAAGAATGAATTAATATAATTAATTAGAGTCGAATAACAAAAAATACTAAACAAAGCTAAAGAACAAAATAAAATTGTAAATTAATATCACACACTACAAGAAAAACAAGTAAAAAAATTGCTTATTTTTAATTAATCCAAAAGTGAGCAATTAAAAATAAAGAACTTTTGTTCTACTGAAAGTAAGAATAAGCTAGATAATTTTTTAACTTTTAAAATTGAATAGAAATTTCAAGTTATCTTAAATGAATTGTCTTATACAGTCATTGTTAATGCTAAAGCATAGATTTTTTTTTGTTTTTAAAAAATATCACAAGCATAGATATAGGTTTTTTTAATAGAAAAATTATGCCATTTTTAACCTTAATTTTCTTGCCATCAATTTTTTTATATTTTCACAATTAAAATCCTTACTTTTATTGATCTTATACTTTTGGAAGTCCAGTAAAAAATAAACATTTAGAAATAAATGTTTTTAGAATTTATTAATTCCTGCTTCAGAAGGAAAAACAATTTCATTACACAATGAATATTCTAACATTAAATTAGTAAATGTTTATTTTTAGACAAATTCAAAATAAGAGCAACTGAAGATAAGAATTTCATTCATAAGATTAAATTATTTAATTCATCAATTGTTTTGTTTTATTTAGTGTCAGGCCCAAGTCTTGCCTAAAAACAATACATATAACTAGGAGAACTTTGTCCCTGACTGAAGCACAGCAACATCTTACAAATTCATGTTAGATCAGTAGAAGGGTGATAAATTAAAGCAACCTGCCACTCTGCATAAGCAGTCAATTTTTATCTTTGTTCTAAAACTTCCTTAACTTATATAGTAAATGATCAATGCAGTGAAGGCATTGTACAGTACATGTGCCATTGTTAATATAGTTCAAAACATTCCTGTTTTTAATAAAAATCACAAAAAGATAGAACTCAATTGGAATTTTTTCCAAAGACTTACAATGGGAATCTGAAACTAATATACTGTTGTTATTAATTGTTTTTTTGAAAAAATTTATTTCTTGATGGACATCTCAAAAAGAATTAATCATTCAAGAGTAAAAAAATTTTTACTCTTTAATACATTAAGGTATATATATGATCAATTTTTCAACAAAAATGGGAAAAAAAGATCACTATTTAAAAATCACACCTAACCAACGTTAAAAAATGTGTATTTGTTAAAAATAACATTCCCAGCATAAAGTGAATATTATTTTTGTCAAGTATTTAAAAAACTTTGGAAAGAGCTTTGTTATAGATGTCAGGTAAGTGAGTACTTGTGTACTTTTTTACAATGCAAAATTTCCCCATTGACTTAATATGGGATGGCCTTTGACTTTTGACAACTGTTCTAGGTTGAATTTTAAAATTCAGCCTTCATCATGACAAGCCTTTTATTAGTTCTATCAATTATGCAAAATTTTGTTCAACTTGGTCAAGTCACTATGTTACAAAACATGTTTCAGCAATTTGAGAAATGCCAAAGAAGCTTGCTCACTTCAATAACACATGACCTGATACATTAGTAATATGAAATGATCTATTGTATTTTTATTGGGCTGTATTAAGTCTAACTAATAATACAAAACAAAGTACCAGACCTGTTTTAACCTGGTAGTCATGTGAGGTCAATTGTCTTTAGTTGAGTCACTTGGCATTTCACAGATGCCAATTTTTATTCCAAAATTGTGAAATTATAGCATTGCATCAGAACTACGATTAAATCTTTATTTCCATATTTTGTCTTCTTTCTAAGGATGTAAAAATACTTGTGGATTGACAAAAATGCATATTTTATGTTTATTTTATTGTAATTTGATCCAATAAAGCAATAAAATAAACATATCAAATTTCACTTTTTTGCAAATTATCTCAAGTTACATAGACAGATATCAGACTTATTTGTAATTAGAAAAGGAGGTGTTTTCTTTCAAAGCCAGGTAAGGAAAACTTTATTACTCTAGAGCAGTGTTTCTCAATGGGGGTGATATCGCTCCCATGTGGGCATTTTTCCATGCTGAGGGGTGATTAGTAACAATTTATATTTTGGGGGCAAAAAACAATTTTCTGGGCAATATAGTAAAACATTATATTAAGAATAATTAGATATTTTATTTGTTATATCGCACAATAATTAAACAAATAACATTATACTAGTCACTAGTCTATTCAATGCAGTACAAATTTGGTGTTAGCCTTGGCCCTCAGCATTGGAATTTTGTAGTGAAGGGGCAATACTACATATTGGTTTTATTGAAGGGGGCGACGATTCGTTAGAGGTTGAGAAACACTACTCTAGAGAGAGATTAGCAGTAGAGGTAGCACCAGTCTCACTCCAAATGTAAACAAACTGCAAAATGTTTTATTACCCTGTAAACAAAAACTGCTGTCCCAGTTGTAAATGGGCCAAATGATAATGTTATTGTTTAACATGTAACAATCAGTTTTGTCAGAAGATTATTTTATTTTCATATTTTTATGCAATGTAGTCACACATTTATCAAAAATTTACTATTTTAGTTCAAAAATTAATATTGCTCAAAATATTACAGAAAATATCAAGATTTTTTGCTGATTGTTTAACCAGGAATGCTTTCTATATGAGAAATAATGCATGGACCATCAAAATTTTGGCAATTTATCATATGATGTCAACTGCATAAATTATTAGCTCTATAACTTAAAAAGTTATGAGAATTTTATCAAATAAATGCATTTGTCATGATGCCTGAACAATACTTACAATGTAAATGTTCAACATTTACATTATCAAAATTGATTTTTCCAAGAGTATTACTCTCAAAAAATAATACAACACGGTTTCAAAAAACAAATAAACAATGGATTTTTCCATTTTTCTCTCTCTGAATGACATGCCACAATGTAATGCTCACTGTGTTGAATTGACTCACATCACGCAGCAGTTCAATGTAAAATAGTAGAGAATATAAAAAGTGGTATACAGTAGAGCATCGATTATCCGTCACATTGGTTAACCGATTGTTCTAGTCAGCAAATTTCAAATGTCCACTAGTGATGTGGCACTACAATATTTGGCTATGTCTTGGCTACTTTAATATTATTTTTGTTAAATTTTTGTGTGTTTTAGCTGGCAACACTGTCTCGACCATTGAAGGGAGGCCAGTACTTAAAGAAGACTTAATTTTCTAATTATGAGTGGCTGTTTGTTTTGTGAGCAATAAAATAATTTTTAACGATACAATAGCGACGATTATTATTTTTAAAAAAATTTGTTAGGCTTAACATTGATGAAAATTCAACGCGAAGTTGGTTAATAGCGATATACTAATATACTACCGTGTTTCCCCGAAAATAAGACATCCACAGAAAATAAGACCTAGCACAGATTTTGCTGAATTGCGAAATATAAGACCTCCCCTGAAAGTAAGACCTAGCGTTAGGCGTAACGGTCATCGACAGATGGTTGAAAGTGGCCGTTGGCTTTTTGAAAGTACAGCCACTGATTGGTCAGCAGACAATTACGCCACACGGCATGATTTGCATAAGACTGTCTTGGTAATCACAGATTTGCATAACGTTACGGCTGGTGATGGCTAATTGGTCGGCCGGGAATCACGTCCCATCATATTTGCATAGTGTTACGATTCAGTAAGCACTAATTGGTCATTGAGTCCGATGTTGACGCTATAAAAAGGCGACAGTTTGACACACTGGATATATGTCACTCTCATCTAAGTTCGACTTGGAAATTTTTTTGTTCAATAATAAATGTGAATTCTTCTTCCTGGAAAAAATAAGAGATTCCCTGAAAATAAGACCTAGCGCATTTTTCAGAGCAAAAATTAATATAAGACATTGTCTTATTTTCGGGGAAACATGGTAATTACATAGGATATACTAATATACTATACTAATAATGTATTTTTTTCATTGTTTTCGGTTATCCAATTTTTTCAGTTATCCAACCAACCTGAGTCCCCAATTGAGTTGGATAATCGATGCTCTACTGTATTTGTAAGAATATATTTTTTAGATTGCTATTGTGTCATTCGTTCAAAGTGACAGTTGTGAGTGTGGACGCCCACACGTAATCCTGCTGTACACCAACAGTTGTTTGACATCTCTCAAATGCCAGAATTTTATTTGAAAAGTATTTGTGCACTTAAAAGTGTTAACTGTATGTCATCTGGGTTAAAAAGTTAGGAAGGCAGAAATTTATTTTATGAAATTTTAAATTTAAATTTCATAAAATGCTTCACATATCTTTCAACATTACGAATGTTGAAAGATGTGTGTTAAGGCATCTCACAAGTGCTATGCTGTTACATGATAGTTAAGAGCAATAAAATATGTACTTTCTACATAATGCAGTTAATAAATTTATTCAAATCAAATATGTACTTATAATATATATTTTTAATAACGAAATAATTATAATTTGGAAAAATAGATACCTTATCAATAATATCTTTAATGGCACTCAGACGAATTATACCAGAATGTTTATGACTTCCAGAATATTCATCTAAATTACTGTCTAATTCTATTCAACACATAAAAAAAGTAATTTTAATAAATTTATAAATTAATTAAATAAACTATTTTTTCATTGAAGGTACTGTCAAATAAAATAACAATTATACTGGCAAATTATCATTTATTTCATTATAAAAGAAATATAATCATTATTTAAATATTAAAATAATCAAATTATTAAAAAATAATAAAAATATTAAAATAATCATAATTATTAATTTAAAATTTAGTTAATATAAATAAAAACTTATAAACATTTATATGTTAAAAGAAAACTNACGGTTTAAGAACTATAGGCAAATTTCCATCTATCCATAATTTTATTATTACTTTTAAGATTTTAATAACTAAATTAGATTTCTTCATATAATGTCTGCTTTATTAGAATAAATATAGTGACATATCCTGATATGACAGTTATAAATGAAATGTGAAAATTTATTACTGATATTACAAGTATGTTTTTCACACAAAATATTTTTCTTATAGAAAGAGCTGATGCATACTGATCAAAAGTTAATTTCATTATATAAATTTAGCTTATTTCTAAATAAGAACTATTAAAAAGTAAAGGTTGCTCTTTTAAACACATCATGAAGATACATCAAGAAAGAGAATATATGCTCCTCTGTAATTATTCATTGTCAGAGTAATAGATAGAATGGATAGTCCATTGTTGATACAGACTTGATCTCCTGTCAGTACTTGGAAATAAAAGTTAAAGTGATCTGAAGTCTACTGTTAGACTACTCATTTCCAGACCAAGACAGGCTGAAACCAGCCACCAAAGATTCAATACCAGCTTTCTGCTTATCAGTCTAGATCTATAATATTAGATCATTATGAGTCCTAATAAGAAAATTATAGTATTATAGTAAAAATAAGATTAAAAAGATAAATAATATAAGTTATTTTTAATTGAAATAACTTCAAACTAAAGATTACTGGAATTAATTTATCATAAAAATACATGCAATCTTGATAATATAATATAGCAAACTCTTGATTTCATTATTCAACCATCCACTTATCATTACATTTTAATAATATCAGTTTTAGGATTATAAAACACTAATAGTAAAACAATAAAATAGAATAAATCTCTGAAAAAAGTTTTTAAAATGTTCAAGTATTATAGAATTAAACACATATTGTTATTATTAATAGTAACATGCTTACAGAATATTACTTGTAATAATGGTTTAAATAAATCAATTTGCTTATTAAAATATATTTCAGAAGAATATAGTTTTAATGGACTTCTTGGGCCACCAAAAATCACTTGTTCCAAGAATCTGTTATATCGCAAACAAAGGATTTCCCACACCCAGGAAAATATCTGTTACTCAAAAACATTACTTTTTATCCCCTATATATAAATAAGAAATACCAGTACTTGAAATTATTCAGTCTCTTGAGATATCTATTCTTTATCCTATAGAAATACGTATGTTTATAATGTACAGTACATGTATATATTATGCCAGATGTGCATACAACAAATCTGACAAAAGGTGTACATACTGTAAACATAAAAAAGAGGCAAATTACATATGCTCATTAGTATTTTGCTTGACTTCACGATTTGTTAAGAAAATTCATCCATCTTAGTTTCTTTTGATGCCATTTTTTTTATCTATTCAATACAACATCACTTGATATTAGTAATGTCATGCACAGTACAGCCTGCTCGTTTGTGCTGAAACTCATCAGGAAAGTCTTCACAACTTGGAAATACTTGGTGGTCTTGCTAAATTTCAGCACTACACCTGGACCAGCAACTGAGTGTTCACTAGGTGACTCCTCTTCAATCATATCAGCCAGCTGACTCTCTTCATACAATTCTTCAATTGTATGTACTGTACATATCTCAAATGTAACAAGTGCATCATCAAACTCTACAAATTTCCAGAAACAAATATCCCAAATATTAACTAAATGTTGAAAAAATGCAAAGTTTAATAGATTTGGGGTAGAAAAAATCCATTATTCTGAGTAATGGATTCGGTAAAATAAGGTAAAATTACATTGATTTGACAGAACATGGAAAAAAATCTGTTGTTCCAAGAAATCCGTTGTTCCTTGATCTGTTAAAACGAGATTCTACTGTATAGGCAAATGATAACTGTAGGATGCAAAGAAACTTCAGAAGAAGCTTTAAAATAATGACATTATTATTATCTAAAATATTTCAATTTTATAAGTTTGTTAAATAAAACTTACGAGGTGATGCATAAGTATTTGGAAAATCTTTTAGCAATTTACTTCTAGCAATATCTGACATTGGTCCAAATAATATCACAGGCCTTATGAAACCAGCTATTAAAAAGTTAAGATTAATTTTAAGTTTAATATGTTTTTAATTAAACTTTTAAATAAAATTTAATATTAGCATTCATGTACTGTACTTACGATGCTTTAGTACAACTCTTACATAAGGAGGAAATTTGGTGGAACAATCGGCTGCCAAATATAAGTTATGAATTACAAAAATTTCTCTCAAATCTAAATTAATTTTATTTTTATTTTCTGGATTATCTTATAAAATCTTATAACTGGTTCAGAGAGCAATTAGGAAGTATAAAAATTTTATACTAATAATATTGTTAACTTGAAACAAATTAAACCAACCCATGATTTAAAGAGTGAAATGATTCTACAAGTGTTATATGTATATTAAAATTCTGTAAACTGACACTAATATTTACATGGCATATATGGAATCGTGGAAACATATGGGAAATGAATATTTCCTATATACAGTCAAACCCCCTATAAGTATGTAAATTGCAATGTATGGGAAATAAGTCCCATATTTCTCATACATTGCAATTTTGTATAGATAACTCAGGGGACAGCTGTGATTAGAAATCTCTTTGAAAGTGATTGCAGATTATGTAATTCTGTAGGTTATATTCCAATTTTGACATGCATTTCCAAATTCATTCCACTGTCTAAATTTACCAAGAGTGTCTTATAAAATATGAAAATTCCTTTTCAGACATGGTGTAAGGAACCAAGTCCGTGCTTTATTTTTAGTTTATTTTTACTTTGCTTTATTATATTTTTGTTTGGGGCTTATGTTTGGTTAGGACGAAGGTTTCCTCACCCACCACCCTAACGTTCAAAACGAGAAGATAAAAGATTAACCAACTCACCGACGACGAAACGACAGCGCCATAGCTAGCATTGCACTCACGTGCACGCCCGAGCGGCAGAATTGTAAGTCCGCACTGAAGGGGGGACACCCCAATAGACTTTCTAGGAACTTGTGTAACCTTAATAAAACATCCCGATAATTGTTAAAGAAATGCTGTAAAAGGTTAACAAAGTATTGTCGAGAAATAAGCTACCAGATAATGAAGAGAAAACAATGTTACATGTAGATATGTAAATGAGGGGAGTGGCTAAAGTAGAACTGTGAGTCACCTCATACTGTAAGTACAGTAGCTCAAGTGAAGACAGACGAGGTGAGCTCCTGAACCGAAAGCGTTGGTCTGCTGGTAGCAGTGAATAGGTGTCGAATAGGAAATCCTAGTAGGAGATTGAAGGTTCGATTTTGGTGATTGGAAAATAGGAAAGTCTTGAGTAGAAGAAAAAGGTTCCGAGTATTAATTGAGGTGACGGTTAGGATTGATAGTTATAAGAGAATTTGTATCTAAGTTAAGAATTGGATTTTGTTTTGTCGGAATTCCAAGGGGAATAGTTCTAAGTTAGAATAAGACTTAAGTTTGTCGGGTTGATTTTGTGATTTTGATTTTGATTAATAAATTTGTTGTTTGTTTATAAATCTTGTACATAGTATTTGTTAAACTTGATTAAACATTTATTATTGAGAATTTTTTGTGACTAACTTTGTCCTTAATTTTTTCCGGTGCACGCTAAAAGTCCAGGCCTGGCAACTAACAAACGCGAACCGCGTAAAGTACCCGTTAGGTCCAGGCTCTAAGAAAAATTCGTTGTAGAGCGGCAAATTAAATATAGTACTTTACAATGTTCATCTGTCATTTGTGATTTTCCTGTGTTTAGTTTTCTCTCATTCATTTTCTGTGCATCAATTCATACTTTAGTTATTATTATTAGATACTTCTATTTTTACTTGTTTCTTGAAAGCTTGAATAAGTTTCTTGTTATTCTCCTCTTTATATTTCAACTTTCAGAGAACTATTTAGAAGCTATTTTGTTTAAAAGCTGGATGTTGATTTTGTCCTATTTTAGTTTTGTGTAGCAAAACATATGCAATATATAAAAATGAGTGATTGGCTCTCTAAATCATGTCAACAGATGTTATGAACATCTGTTAAAAGTTTTTTATTTAATCTTTCTGAGTTTATTTTAGCATTTACTATTATCATTATTATAATGTTATAGTCTGTGTATGGAAAGAATCACTTGAAAGCAATGTCATTCATGATGTCACTTTAGTTAAAGCAATCAGCACATTCCTTAATGATATCAGCACTTTTCACTTTATATATCAGGCAATATGTGAATTTTATTTTTTCTCTCACTACATGGCAGAGCAACTTTTCCATTAATTATGTTAATATTTTATAATATTCATTAACTATAAAGAATCATGCTTTTAACTAGTACTATACTGAACTTCCTCGTATTTCAATACCAGAACATGAAGCTTTCATAATACTGTTTTTAATGGCAGTGACATGTTTAACAAATGAGGAAGAAACTAAAGTAATTTGCCACAACTATGTGGCAAATTAGTTTATTCCTCATTTGGCTGATGGTCATTGGTTAATATCCAAGTTGATTCTTTCCATAGACAGAATATAGTGGTTTGTCATACTCAGTTAACAATAATGTCTAGTGCTATGCTAGACCAAGATCAAGGCATAACTAGAAAAACTGATAATGTAGTTACATACATGCTGTTCGTATATGATATCAGTATTTAAGAATTGCCATTAAGAAACTATATAAAATGTGTTCAGTATGGCTGTTATCTGTAATATAATGTATGTGTTGTTGTGAAGGTCTAATGTAAGAACATCAAATATTGTTGATCTGAAGATGATATTGAAAATCCCAAAAATGCACTTAATCCAAATAAACATCTTGACTCCTTTAACTATTTTTGAATTTATTTTCTTATGTTTATACAATAAGGATCTTATCCATTCTTCACAGACACCTTATTTCATGGACAAGTTCTGAGTATTTACTGATTTTGCCAGTCTACTGGTTTGTATTTTGTATGTTATGGGTGTTTGGTACTGCTATGTCTGTGATATAGTAATTTTGTTTTGTTCGTCAATGAATGTGATGTCTGGTTTATAATAATGGTTTGTTTTGTCTGTAATTATAGCATTGTCATAGTATGTTTTGTGTATGTTATTTTCTATGATTGCCTGAAGTATGTATTTGTATTGTGAGCTAGGTGTGTAGTAGTTTCTATTTGTGTAAAGCTTTCAATGTATTATGTTTACTTACATTGTTATTTGGTTATGTAAATCTATTTGTACTAAAATCTTGCAGCTCAATGCAATGTGTTATGTAGTCTTGTGCACTTCCTACAAGACATGCAATTTCCTTTATGATGTGGCATTTCCAACTAGTGTTGTCTGTGTTTTAGGATATGTTTCCTATAGATTTTTTTCATATTTATGACCTGGTCTTGTAAGGCAATCATAAACCCTTCCTTCTCTTCAAAAAGACACCCATGGCAATCACAGTTTGTCAATATGATCTTCCCAACTGAGATCATTAGAGTGCTCATTGTGGATCTCCTTTCAAATACAAAACTGACTTATCTGTGTCTCTTGTGTTCTGTGTTGGTTAGGTTTAATGATGTGTTGTTTTTGTTCACAAGAGTTACAGCTTTGTATATTTCTCACAGTGTCTGTATTGGTTTACAGTGAAGATTTACAATATCTTTGAGGCCTCATCCTCCCATTTTGTGAGGAATGGTCAGCCTCTTTATGGACAACTTAGGGTGGGGTTTGTTGTGTTTTGTTAATGTTGTTTGTGTTTCCTTTGGAGTTGTTATAATTCTGTGTGCACCCAATCTATAATTTCAAATGAATATGCCAGTATTGGGCTGTTGATTGCTTTAAGTATGTTTTGCATTTAGCTATATTGTTAGTATTGAATTATATATTTTTGTTAGTCTTTGTTTTATTTGTACTTGTTTTATAAGTTTGCTGTTTGGAATCCTAAATATCTATAAACTTTGCCCATGGATTCAATGATGTGTTCATTTCCAAGTACAAAATAATCTTTCTTCAGGATTCCTGTTTTTACATGAAGTGTTCTGTATTTATCTAGGCCAAAGATCATTTTAATGTCAATGGAGTAAGTGTGTATAACTTCTAATTGGTGACTTAGCCATGCTTATTATTATTTACTTATATCATTAAATTTTATATATAGTTTTTAAATGCTATCATTAGAGTAATTGTAGATTAGTGAATATTTATTATAGTGATTAATAAATGAATAAAATTATATTTTAATTCTTTTCATACCAAATACTAATTCCTCCCAGTGATCTCTACTAAGTGATTTAGATCTTCGAGCATTACGGCGTTTAAAAAAACTTCCTCTGCTTTCTGTAGAAGGATCCCTCCTATGTTGAGATTGTTGACTTTTTGCTATTTCCTCTGCCCTTAAATATTATAAAAAGAGAGAGTTAAAGTTTAATATGTAAGTACTATTCAGGATTTCTATTATAGATCACTATATTTAAAAGTATATATACAAATCAAATATCATTATCATATGGAAAATGTGATTACATTTCCTTTGTCATTAAAATATATTTTAAACATCTTACATAAATATTTAATGTCAACATTAAAGTTGACCAATAATAATTATATATTATTCGATTACTTGTTATTGACTGCTTCTTCAGCCAGATCTTGGTATTTCACATAATTTCACAACTCTTTCCATATCCATGATGCAATTTATAATAATTATTTATAAATAATAATAAAAAATTTATTAAAAATAATCATTAGTAAGTAAAAAGGAAATAGTAAGAAAAGTCAAAATAATAAGGAGACCATTTATAATAAACTAGAAGTTTGTTAATCTGGCACCTGATAACCTGGATTGTCCAGTATGTAACTCCTTCAAAGTAGCCAATAATCCAGTTATACTAGTATTTTGCAAATTGGAATTTGTTTGGATATGTGATGTGCAAAAATCCTGGAAGGAATCAAAGATGGGTGGCACAGCTAAACATGTTGCTATATGCAAGGAGGTTAATTGTGGGATCAAGAAATGATAAAAAAAAAAAAAAGAGTCATTTTGTTGTCTACAATCTTGATTGCATATAACTTATTATATTTTGGGAAAATACAAAAAACGCCCAGTAATCTGTCATTTTTAATAATTAAGCACCATTTCAGTTCCACAGGTGATAGATTAAGAAACTTCTACTGTAATGTACTGTACATCTTTGAAAATATGCAAATGACACTTTAAGTTAATCAACTACCCAGATACTATGGCATTCAATTATCATGGATTAAACTGTGTAAAGCATTTTACTTTTTGAGATTTCAAATTTTTCTGCTAGCAAACTGAACATTCTCTTTTGACTGCTTCATTATATTTCTCTATGAGACATCTGTTTCTACTCAACTAACATTTCATATTAGTGAGTGACTACATGAGGCTAATGAATAAGCTTTTTATATATAAGATAAAGCATAGTAGAAATTTCTTGTGTTCATTATGTTGCAAAATAAACATTTGCAACATAATAATAAGATTTTAAATTCAAACATCTCAATCAACATTACTGTATTAAAAAAATATTTTATCTCTGAGGATGTTATCGATAGTCATGTCTGAGATAAAAATCTTTGCAGAAATGACATAGGATTACAAAATATTTTTTCAAGTTTAGTTATTATTAGTTTTAAAACAACATACCTGCTCTGATTAGGAATGATGCCTTTTTGTATTTGTTGATTATTTCTTCCCAAACGGTATACAACCCATGAACCTGAATTCCCATTGTATAAGGTATCTATAACATGAAAAACTTCTCCAACATGAAAATTTAATTCTCCTTTTGAAGTTCCTTCATACTTAAAGTGAGTTCTAAAAATATAATAAAAACAAAAAATAAATTATCAGTGATAACATAAAAAAATTGTGTATTGTTAATAATTTAGACAAATTTTTCAGAAATTTCAATAACACAAACTGAACACACACACATTACATTGAACATTTTTGATCACTGTAAATAAAATTTTAGGAATTTCAGATTAAGTCCAGTAGGAACCAAATACCAATTTTCAAACTTTTTCATCCTATCCTGAAGGCCTTCATCAGGAACATTAGAATGAAATGGAATGCTTGATGAATCATGGAACAAGAAATTTAATTTGGTTCAAATACAAATTTAAACTGATTGCATCGTGCATAGTAAATGTAGTGAATAAGCACCCAACAAGGTATTATCAAAGCAGGCTTGCCATGTCTTAGAGATTAAAAACAAAGATGAAAGGAACAATCTCTAAGACATGGCAAGTCTGCTTTGATAATACCTTGTTGGGTGCTTATTCACTACATTTACTATGCATGATGCAATCAGTTTAAATTTGTATTCAAACTGAATTAATTTTCCATAATTCATTGAGCATTCCATTTCATTCTAATGTTCCTGAAGAAGGCTTTTGGGGCAGGCCAAAAACTTGTCAAAAGTGGTACTTGGTTCCTGCTGGACTTTTTCTGAGGTTTGTGGATTCTATAATTTTATAGTGATTTCACCCAGTTCAGAAATTGGGGAATTCTTACCGAATCACTGTAAAAGTAAGTATATATAGTGTAAGTATATTTATAACAATAAAATTTTTTATTTTATAATTATCATTAGATAAACAAATAAAATTTTGACATTTATTAAATTTTCTCTATTCACAGATTTTTTTATTCCTTTATCACTGTTATTTTGCTGGCAAGATGACACAATAAACAACTGGTCTTCAAAGAGGAATCTAAGTTTGAATTGGATCTAAATCTTTGCGATTTTTCACAATTAGTAAAAATCAGAGAATTGTTCTTTAGCTCCTCCCATTCTACTAGCACTATTGTGCTAGTAGAACGGGATTAGGCACATGAATAATGGGTGCAGTTAAGGCAAATAGTCCATACTATGTTAATGCTTTGCAACAAAATAAATCAATCATTATTAACTGACTTTTTCATAAATTCTAGATTTATTCCTTTCATTTGTTATTCAATCATTCAAAATGTCTCCAAATTAATGTCTAATATAATTTAATACATGAAATTTATTCTTATATTAATTTTTATTTAATGTATGATATCTAATAATAAATAATAATTTAATGTGTTCTATACTAGTATAGTGTGGCCATTGGCCATGATATTGGGTAGTCGTATGTTTTATTTGGATTAATCTTAGCCTTGTTTCCTGTTTCTTTGTTCTAAATTCCTTCTAGAACCTTCTTATCTAACCCTTTTTGCCCTTGGGATTAGGATTATCGTTTCCAAGAAAATAAGTAGAACAAAAGAGGGAGTGAGGTCCTGGGGCCTAACGAACAGAGAACGAGTTATTCTGGGAGAGAATCTCAAAGAGATAGGCAGAAAAAGGCAGTACTCCAAAATTTTAGAAAGATGATTGAAGATGCGAGTTGCCGAGAGATCAATGAAGAAAGATGATGAAGTCAAAAGTAGACAAAAGTCCTACAACGAGAAAAGGATCATGAATAAGAGGGAGATCCGAAGTTGTGTCCTATCCAAGAGCACGTTGCTACAAAAGAAACCTGGGTATTTCTATTCCTTTCCTTATCCTTACTTATTTCTTCTACTTTTCCATTTTCCTTAGTTTTATTTTCCATTTTCCTTAGTTTTAAGATAGTATAAGTTAGTGTAAGTTGATATGGCCCGATCTGACTGTCACACATATATGAATTATCTACTTGGAAGACCAGTACGTAAATGCCTAAGTATATAAAATTCATAAAGTTATAAGGTTGGAATCCGATGTAAAGAACCTGTTTGGAGAGAATTAAAATACTTGGTGCTATAAATAATATTAAGTGTTTTTTTTTTTTTTGGTACCATTTGGCTTGCGGAATTAAGTACCTCTTGTTACGAGTTTCACAATAGTAGTTTAACAGATTGATTATTTTATTGTTGATTAATGTTATATTGAAAATTTTCTCTTCTCGAGGAGAAATAAATAGAGATACTTATGTTGGCTGAGATCAAATAATATTTTGCCATTAAGTTTAAGTGTTTTCCCTCTAATATCCTCTATTAAATTGTGCTAAACACTTGATTTCATATTTGTATTGCATTCCATCAGCAAGAGTAAGCAGTAGATAGAGCTAAGAAAGAATGATCCAGAGGTAAAAATCATTAATACTATTATGTAGTTGACTTTGAAATTGAATGGTAGATTGCAATTCTTTTACATTATCTCAACCTTAATATCCTTAAAGAGGTCATGCAGGAGAAAGAGATTCAACAGGCAAACTGAGTTTAGATATTAATGTGGAATATCCTTAGTCCATGATTATAAATAGAATTCAGTGCTATACTTTGGGTATTACAGTTCAGGCTCAGTTTGTTTTGCAATGTTAATTTTGATATGTATTAGAAGAAATCGTTTTGAATAAAAAACATTATGATCACAATCATCAGTTGTCCTATTAGTAGTCAGTTTTTTAGAGTGTATTTGAATTGGGACATTTACCAAATTTGTAAGATTCTGAACAGTGATTATACTTCTGAGATTGATCACACAGTGAGTCTTATGCCCAATCAACAACACTTGTACTGCGACAAAGGTCAGGAATATAATCATCCATAAGAACTTATTACCAATGAAATAATCATCTTTTAGATATATAAGAGTAAATTGGATGTGTAGGGAGTTAAGAGAAAGTAATATGTCTCCTAATCTCCTGATGTTTTCTTCTCTTCAGGTATGATAAAGAGACACAGGCACCTTCTGCTGTGATTGTTGATAGAAAAACTTGAAAAGAACTAATGATATGATATTGTAACCTAAGTGTGTATTAAGTATATATTTTATCTTATGTGCATTGTTACTATTAAATATACTAAAAAAGAGCATATTTAGAACATTTTACTAGTGTATTTAGTCGTAAGTACTACATTAGAAAATACAGTAGACTCCCCCTATAAAACGGTTTCATATAATGTGGATTTGTATATAACAGCAAAAAAATTGCGACCGTATTCATATAAACATGCTAAAAGAAACTCATAAAATACAGTAAAACATCATCACCGATTCGTGTTGCAACAGGATTGGTCGAATCTAGACCAATAGCAGATATTGCTATTGGTCTGGTTGAGTTTAAATGAGCAGCGGACCTACTAAAAACCAATTATTATTTAACAGCCATAAAAATTATATTTATATTAATGATGTCTCCAAAGTTCAGCAAATTTTTCGCAGAAAAATAATTTATCAGGAAACACGCACCTGCCGTTCAATGTACCGCTCCATGATGAAAACAAGTTTAAGCAATGGCATCGTCAAACAGTGCACACTCGGTAAGTAATCCTACAATTTTTTGTTTATAGCATAGTTTATATGGATTATTCCCTTTGGAAATGTTGAGTCAAATTAGTCTAGAATCGATTAATTTTATGGAAGAAACCTTTCAAACAGCCGTAGACCGTAAACTGCATACATGCCAGGCTGTGATTGGCTCATGTATTTAAGGATTCATAAAACATGAATTTCATAAAAAACAGAATGTATCTACTGTGTTATGGGGGTCAACTGTATTGGATTGATCAAAAAGTCTATTTGTTTTTTAGACAAAATAATACTCAAATTGTAAAAAAAAAATAACTTTATTAAATTATAAATGCACTTTTTTGTTTTTTTTTTAAACTTTATCCCATGTGTTGGGTTAACTATCCCATCTGCAAAGAATTCTGGAGACTTTTCTTCAAAAAATATCTCTAAGTGGTTTGATACATTGCCATATGTTATTGAATTGCAAACTATTTCTGGAGAGATTGAAATAAGCAGTAATCTGAAGACAAAAGATCCAGAGAATACAAGGATGTCAGAATGCATCCTATCCAAATTCCAATCATTTTTTCAGATTTTTATGCTGGAAAGTCACTTTCTTCTTGCTAATGCTGACTGCTTTCTTTGATGCTACCTTCAGATGATCAAGTTGAGAGCAGTACTTCTGTGTACTAATAATAAGATTTTGAGAAAGTAGTTCATAGTACTTAATGCCCTTCTAGTCCCACCATATGCTCGGCAAAATCTTTTACAGATATGAACTGGCTTTTGATTGCATTCCAGGGATTCAACTGACTTTCTCCATAATCTTTTTTGCTACACATTATCACAAACAATTCATTTTCAATCACTTCAAAATCATTATATTCAAAAGTATCTCATTATATCTCAGCAATAAATCACAGATGATTATTCTATCAGATTTCTCTTGCTTACAAGAAGTGCGCCAGATGTTTGAATCTCCTGTTCAAATGAAACTTGGTGAGCATGTAGCCCTAAACATTAACAGCTCCTTGTCCAGATAATAGTACCCACTTCTCAAGCATTTCTGAAAAACTGGCTTCTAAAAATTGAATGTTTAGCTTAGAAGTCTTTGGAAGTTATACTTCTACTTTTAATGTTTATAGCCAAGTGGATAAGATGCTAGATACTGGTACTACACAATGTAGGTTCAAAATTTTATTTAATGACATACAAGAATTAAATCTATAGAGACTTCATTTTCGCTAAAAAGGAAATGACATAAAACAAGAGATTAAAAAAAAATGTTATAAGTTTTTATACGTGAAGAATATTAATGGTAATAATAATAATGCAAATGATACAATAAAATAATAAAATAATTTTGTTACACAAAGAGAAAAAAAACTAAAATTGAAGAGGTTTGAACCTACATTGCATAGCTCCAGTACCTGGCATTTTCTCTTTGTAACATCAGTTGAGTGGATAAGTAAAAGGGGGGATGTTTTGTGGATCAATTTGTATTAACTATCTAGAACAACATATCTTGCTCCACAATTTGGAGGCGTTTAACGCATGCGCATTATAATCG